AAACATGTTTGGCATGGCGGATGAGTGGAGAAAGCAACGCCTTGGGCAACCGTTATTAGAAGACAACACCCAATTCTTCTGGAGACGCAATGCTGCCTTCTTCTTTCCGTCCATGAGCCATGTCCATGAGCAGTTGTGTCCATTGTTTGTCTTTTGGTTGGTCCAGTTTAAACTGCTTCTTGTTTCAACAGAATCACTGAGTTGGTAAGTACGCAGTACATCAACAGTGACAGCTGAATTAGCTTTCCCGTCAGAGTGAGGAGGGAATAAGTGCAGATAATACAATGCGTACGGCAAACAGAATTTTATTCTTGTTCCAATGAGCGTCCTTGCCCCGTTTATTTTAGATCTCTTCTCCAGGAGCAAAGAAGAAAGGATAGCAAACGTCTCTTGAGTCCCTGCCTCGCAGATGCACGTGTATGTATGTGCATACATACGTACATTTTATGCATGCACCACTCGTTGGCTGGCATTGTTTAGTTTGGTCACAAAGTTGCTTCCTTGGCAGTCGAGTTTGAATTCAAGTGTTTCATTCCATGTAATACGGGCGATATTATGGAGAAAACGGGGGGCTTTCAGATGCGGAAAAGTTGAGTCGTGGTGAGCAAATTCGGCTTGGCATCACACAGTAAAGAAAAAGTAAAGTGTTAAGCACAGAAAAGACGCTAAATTTATCGCATCATTGCAAAGACTACTATGTTTCCCAGCTTGGCTTGTTTACTATAAAAATTTATTTCCGGTAACAAATCCTTCCTCGCAAGTTTAGGATTCCTTCAGTAGAAACGAGTGTCGTGATATTTTTTTGCCATTTTTGCCAAGCTGCGAAATGCCCTCGTGATTCTGTTGACTTCACTTTCGTCTTCGGACACGGAGAATTATATCTTCGTCCCGTGCTTTCTTTTACCAATCTCTTTTGCCAACAAAGTGAAGGTGACACTATATTATTCTTAGGCAACTCTTAAAATCAGGTGAAAGCGAAATATTTTACCACTAGTTATGATCCAGCAGAAAAGTTTGGTGACGATGATGGATGAACTAGGAAAAATCTACTCAAGTTTTCAATCATTTCTTAATAGTGACAAATTTTGTTCAAAGAAAACAAAACTGGTGAAATTACAGCCCCAACAACGTCAACTTCTTTGCAGCACGTTCTTCTCAGCCTCAGTTTCTCCTCTTATTCATACACGCTCTCACTTTCTTTTAATTGACATTCTATTACAGCTGACAAAAGTCCGTGTCGTGTAGTTTTCGCTAAAAACAATTTCCTTTGCTGCTCCTACATCTACTACATGAATGCGTTCTAGATATATTACAGTTTGGTCGAACGTTATAAATAGTTCGTGTGCGTCTGTTCACTGGCATATATATATAAATCAATGGTAAAATAAGGAGATCGTGTCAAACCAACTTCCACATCCAACCCCGTTCAATAAACACAAGTTTTAATTGATGGTAATGAAAGTTGGAGAATGCAACTGAAAATGAGAACGAATTATTATTGCTACTTTGCAACACAAAATTCGCATGACCCAGAGTTATTTCCACAAATCATTTAGCACGGAATCAACAGTGGTGGTACGTACGTAGGGAACAACTCTAAAACAACTTTGGTGAGTTTAAAATTACAAAGCTTTTAAGCAAACATCCTGTTCAGCTTTACCAACCACGAGGTATTTTCATAACAAAATGGATCGAGTGCCTACGTGCGAAGTAGGAGCGAGACTGATTTTCCTACTTGACAGTGAGCTGTTAGGTAAAGGTCGTAAAGTACTTGGGGCCATTGATAAAGAATAACTTTATGTACCAGAAATATGAACGGCTTAAAATAAAACGAATAGCAGGAAACTCAATACAAATATTGTTTACTACGCGTGTGTGGAGACAACAGAAAATATGCATTGCTTAAAACGGTTTAAATTTAAATTGATGCTGCATTTTAGTTTACATTATTCCTCGCATTGTGCAAGGCATATGTATCTCATATGTTGCTCATAATTTTGAATGAACCGTGCAGATATTCACTTTTGTCCGTAATGTTCAAGCATCGCCGTCCGAAACAGGAATGCTTGAATAGAAAGTGACATGTATAAATATCTGTTTGCATAAGGAAGATATAAGGAAGCAAATAAAGTAGGGTGGAATAAATTGGCTGCTGGGAGGGCAATGGATTTCAACGTGGAGCAATTTATCCGATAATATCAACGCGAATGAAGAATGACCGCCGAGGGTATATAATGCCGAACGGGTTGGCTTTATGAGAGAATCGAACAACTCAATCTCGGGAGTTGAGATTGAAATATGGATGTAATAACTTAGAAACGATGGTTATCTCCACTTCACCAAGTTTTTATACGTAATGGGAGGCAGTGAGATAATCAAGTGCATATCAGCGACATTAGATTGAATATATGCATTCTTCCCCCTCCAAACCTCCATATTTGCTCATTTCCGGGTCTCTGGAGAAATTCACTTGAAAGACAACTTTCCACTTTGGCAAATAATATAGTGCGCCAAACCAAGAAACTCAGAATGGAAATTGATGCGACGCTGGTTGTTCCAATTCGCAACTGTGCTTATCTATTCTTTCGTGTGTTATCACAAGAACAATGCAGACAAGTCGTGTTACATCGTTGTATTCCATTTTGCAAGGGTGGATCTAAAAAAATCGTCCGTAACGACAACCACGGCACTGCTTAATAACCATAATAAAGATAATTCCACCTTGGTCCATTAGAAAGTTGTAATTCAGTTTGGAGCCACGAACACGGTGACTACTTAAGCATTTCTCTGCCCACACGATTTGTTTTCTACGAGCACCTCATATGCACTGCCCTACATACGTACGTACGTATTACTGTCATCAAAGGACTAGATAGATACCACAGGATGAGTATTATGCTAGGCAGGAGAATGACCGGATATTTGGAGCGTACCAACCAGAGAGCTTTTGTGTCGTATACGCATTTATTACGGACTAAATTATTGTGCATGAACAGCAAAGTTTTCAAAGAAGGGAATAAATCTTGAGGGGCAGTCTCTTTTGCAAAGTGGGACCAAAAGAGAGTTCCGACCATATATCCACCACCACGGCTCTGTGTGTGTTGAGAGAAGTGGAGTGAAAGTTTGAGTAGGACGAAGGGTTGTTGGTTTCCCTTACGACGTCCTCTGCTCTTCGCTCTCTTTCAGTGCACGGACGACGAGCTTTCTGGGAGGAAAGGAGAGAGAATCGTATCACTCCTCGCAATTTATATGACAGTTTGTACATTCATTTGAAGCATGTGAAAAGATTATTATGCATGCACCGGCAAGATTTGGAGTACGCATTTATATAGATGGCGAGAAACAAGGGGAAGCCTGGTAATGCAAGAAGTAGTTCATCTCACTCACTCACTTGCACTTCGTATAATCGTGAGTATGACTTGGTGGATGAATGCTGCTGAGTGAATCGCATAATTTTTTGCTTGAAGCGACGCACAAGAAGACGGAGCAGTCATGGATGAAAAATACAATTTTCATAAGCACCTCAATTTCCTAGCAGAATTAATGCTGCAGATGACAGGATTGACTACAGTAATTTCCTTCATTTCACATTCCACTCGGTCTTATTCTGCCTGCCCTGGATTTGGAGAACCATTGTCCTAAAATTTTCTTAATGACTGAGAAAATGGGTTCTAAATCTGCTTATCTCAAGGATTTATAAAATCACCCACCCGTGATTTGAACGAAGGCTGCGAATAAGAAATATCTCTCATCATCTCCTCGCATTTAATTGTGGCCTCTGATCGGCAAGTCGACAGTGGTAAGCCTGGGCTGAATTAAGGGATCAGCTTTGAGACACTTGCTCACAATCAACAGTTTCTTGGGCAGAATTAATGTCGAAGTTGGATATCTGCAAGTGCTTTGCTGCACTAGCAACAAATGTTCCAAATGTACGTCACTAACGTTCTTTGAGTCAGATGCAACCTTGAGTGAAGAGAAAATTAAATTCAAGATTTCCAGTTTCATCGTCATTGTCCTGCATTGTTTTCCACTCGCCAGAATGCATTCGTGGAACAATGGAATACAATCATTACGCTTTACTGCGCCCTTGTATTTTCATTTCATTTTACTCGAATTAAACTTTCTCATGTGTCTCGTCAATCGTCTTCGCAATTATAAATTCAATATTACACATACCTTTCTACAACGAGGTAATAGTTGTCAACTGTAAATACATGTAGATACATAGAGGTCTTAGTTTAAGACGCAATTTCTTTTGGTACAAAAGCCTGATACAGAAATGCAAGTAATGGACTATCCATAATTAAATTTCAATTAATATCAGTGGAATAAATTATTTGAATGCGTGGGCGAATTACATTGTCCAATTACAGTAATCTGGTCTCCGTTCTTCCAGGGGTTTGAGTTTACAGGGATAAAGATGCAGAAAGTCGCGAAACTACATGGAGAATACAGTCATACGAGATTACAGGTTTTGTGAAGAAATTAACTTTTTATCGGTGTCCAATTACTTTATTTTTAGAAAATAGTAACAATAAATACAAAATTTACAAAATGTAATTGGACCGCTTTAAAAGTTATTTTCTTCACAAAACCTGTAATCTCGTATGACCCTTGTATTCTCCATGTAGTTTCGCGACTTTTTGCATCTTTAAGGACCCTGAAAACTCAAACCCCTGGAAGAAGGGAGACCAGATTACTGTAATTGGACAATACAATTGGTCCATGTACGATTATTTGCATCTCAGACAGTAAAGCTGCTAGAAATAATTTTCTACATTAGATGTTGAATGTTTTCATCTAGTAAGATACATTATTTAGTAGTGGTGGTGAAGTAAAGGTAAAAAATTCATAAGTTGTAGCACTTATGTAAAGAGTAGAAATTCATGACGGAAGATTTCGCCCCTTATGTAATTAAATGCAAATGTATTTATCATTTTCCCTAAAGCCCTTGTCCCAGGATGGAATTTAGGTAATTATAGTAAAAAAAATATTATTACCGTTCTGTCACCGAGGTTTTTCACTCTGCATCGAAGGTAGGCATGTGATCCCAAATGTTCTGAAAATATTGATACAAACATAAGTGCGCCACCCCAGTCAGAATTATTGATCAAGACGAGAATGCGCTGGGATTTTATTAGACTTTACATATATCACAAACATGATTTTTTCTTAAAGGTTCAATCTTATACTTGATGAAGGAAAAAATGTTTGAAAAAGCTTGTGCCAAATAAACATCGAATCTTACATCCGTAAGCTTCGTTAAAATGTCTCTTAATGACAATTAAATAAATTGCTATACCCGAAAGGTTGGTCATCATGGCGTGGTCAAAGTAGGGTTCGGGCTGTCCGTCTGGACCATTGCCGCCCCCACTTTTCGGACCGTGCCCATAACTTCCACGCCTATAACTCGAGCCGCCACTGCTTCCACTCGAGTAAAAGCTGGCTTGTGCATGGGACGGTAAATACTGTTCGGAAGAGGTTGTGCCTTCTTCCGAGGGTCGCCAGTCCGTTGGGATCTTCACCCACGAGTCGTGTATGGATTCTGGGGACTCCACTGCAAAAAAAAGAATAAATTCAGTCACAATGTGCAAGTTGAACTAGATTGCAGAAATTGGCCAGAGAAAGTTGCAAAAGCAATATTCATTCACTACAAACATATTGAATTAGTGTCGCATGTCCATCCTAAATAAAATAGGACAGCTAATAGATAATTTTCCACTCTGAAAACAAACTTGCAACCGCTGTATGATATTTTCTGCAAGGCAATTGCGACATGGTAAATTCTTCTAGCGTAAAATTATTGTCAGTAAATTCCAAAACAACTTCAACTTCCTGTTTCCGAACCTCATATCTTAAGAAAAAGTCTGAAGTCTTGCTATCTAACATGGCCAAGAGTTTATCCAGAATACTATTTCTAAACGATCAACCAAATCTAGGTCAGATTTTTATCGCAGTATTATTATATTCTGAGATATGCAACTGGCTTTTCTCCTTTCACTCGTATTTTATGCTTACGATTCTCAAAGTTAGATGCCTAAATTTGTTTGAAATTTTTACGATTAAACTTGGTTTCTTGCATATAGTTTTTGAAATAGTGGGCATTGCATTGTACAAGTTTCTTGAAAATCAACTAACAATTGTAAGTAGACAACTCTAGTGCATATATATAAAGTTGTATTACTTATTCATCGAAACTAAATAATTTGTTATAAATACAGATATTTATGCATTTAAAGCCTGAATTGCTGACAAACCTGTCGTGTCCTCTCTTACGAAACATTCTTGGCTACACGCCTAAGAGGACACATCGATGATTCAAATAGTTTTACTAATTAAAATTAATCCTGCATTCAAACCCAAAACTTTGTTACGAGCAACCTATAAAAATTTATACCCACACCAAAACACGGAATATATCTAATCTTATAATCTACGTAAACATAGACCTTGGCAAACTTTGGATTTTTACAACATTCAGCCAAGCATCCAGTCGGTATTGCAGATTATACAAGACGCGTCATAAAATAAATACGCATTCATTTCGCAACTTTCAGCAATGGCAATTTTCTCGTGAGGACTGAAAAAGGGGTAAAAGTCGTAGCTTGTGCCACCACAACTCAACACATAGCGTTCTCAGCAGTGAACATGCGACCGAGTGAAAGTATACAAGTTTAATACGTTAGTAACGAAACTCAATTTCAGTCTGGCTCTCAGCCGATGGACTGCGCGCGGAGGTAATAAAAGCCACAGAGCAAGTTAAGGAAATTGTGTCAGTTCAACAAGATCGATGTGAAATTATATCTCTCGTAGGAAATCTTTAGTGGAACACATGAATTCCGGAGAAAGTTTTTCTCTCATTGCGAGCGACCCAAAGATGTACAAGTGAATGAACGGGGGTCGCATTACAGCTACATAAACACTCTCACTGGCTCACTGGGTAACTTAAATTTCCCCTGAATCCGTTCGACACTTTGCTTTAGGCACCATAAACAACTGAACTGAACTTGTTTATGGTACCTAATTCCACATTTGGTCAGAATACAAATCAAAGAATTGAAGGGCAATAAATCTTGCTTCAATCGGACAAAACTCGGCTTAATTACAATTCTGTTCGTCATACACCCAAGGGATCCGACGATGACGCGTCCCCAGAGGGGAAAAATTGGAAAATTGAATGCCGGACGATAGCAACAGCATTCGAGTACATCCAACGACGATGCATAAGTAATATTGCCATCACAAGCAAGCAGAATAATTTCAGAAGGACTTACAACTGGTGGAGTTGCTGTTATCCACGATGAGATCTTCATTGCTCTCTGTGTGGGTAATAACCGTTCCAAAGATGAGACACAAGCTCCACACGGTTGCGGTAGTTGGCAGGATCATCTAGGGATTGAAATAACACAATAGAGACTCTGCCAGCTCACACAAAATAAATAAATGAACCTGTAGCATTTTCTCATAAGATAAAAAAGACACCGTGATTTATCACAACGCTCTCCTTCTCCCGTGTTCTTCTCCGTTCGCTCACGTAACGCTCCACACAGGAAGCAGGCGAAGGATGCAGCGTGTGTATGTGATACTTTATGTGTTTGAGGAAAGGCGAGGACGGAGATGAGCGTAATAAATGAAATTGTATCAAATATAGAAACAGAATGAACTGAGATTTGCTTTGAGAGATCGTATCTTTGGAATTCTTGAAGCCATCCACGTGGCTCCATGGCTCACTGCAGGCGTCCTCGGTGTATAGTGAGTGGCAATTCAACTTATTAAATACTGAACTGCTCAGCATTACATTTAACACTCGATGTTCCAAATGAAATAAAAAAAAACTTCAAACAGTTCTATATTGCTGTGTTGAGTCAATGATCTGAAATATCTTTACAAATATGACACGTGATGTGTGACAACTCCATGCACCCACCCAACGCAATCAGTCAGTTGACTTTCTCCTTGTGTAACAAATACAAATGTAGTCAAGTCGAGTAAACCCCAGTTCCATGAATCATTGTATTGTCATTGTCTATTGTGCACGAGAGCAAAAAATATTTCAACTTCTTTTTCCTCCATCTCGCTTTGGTCCCTCCATTTATTCATTCACTTCAATGGACTGGGAACGTTCTTTCTGCCATTGTGGAAAAATTCCGACTTTGTCCCCTTATGAATATGTAATTCTGGATTTCGCATCCCAACGAATAGATTTATTTTAAGAATAAACCACCAACTGAGAGTCAAGCAGCTTAAGTCGGCTCAAAATTTTACCGTCAAGAAGGTATATGAAAGTTCTGCATATAAATGCATACCGCTTTACTTGTTAGTACATTCTTTTTATCTGCCCACATGCATTTCACTCATCTCTGTTTAAGGTGAGCGATGGAAATATTTTATAACTCGGTTTTTACTTAATACATATTTTTAGCTTCAAGGTGGAATTATGAATGGTAGCTGTGTGTATTACATACGGTGTACGAAGTCAGAAGATTGGGGTAGCACCCGGGGGAAAATAATAAGCCAAATAGGTCACTATACAGCTTTGGTTTGCTTTTCTTGTTCCCTTTAGTTGTTGCGTGCCTCGATCGCTGCGACATTTGCCTACAAGCCAATGAAATTACCCTTTTAACGCAAATTGGACCACGCTTTATTGGTCTGTACGTGCTAACACGAATTGACTGCAAAGATTCCATCCCTCCGTAGAAATTCCACACCCTGACATAAATTTATTTTCTATTGAACGGTTCGAAATTGTAAATATAGCTTGGGTTTAACAAAAGAAGACGAGCATGTGAACGTGGGAGAGCGAGAGAAATGTGCACAACCTGCATTTTCTGGTCCGACGTCGTGACACAGTCAGAAGAAAATCCGAGTCAACCTTGCAGAAAAGCCTTCGGCGCTAATGTGCAGTTATGTGATATAACAAGCAGAATATAAAATGTACGATGGAGGAGCAGTGTGAATTCTTAAGTGGGACATGAGTTTATGGTGATGTGATGGGTAGTAAAAAATTCCCTCGTTTCTTTCCACCAAGGCTCACCCTCCCGTATTTTCAAATACACATGCCAATTTACTCAAAAAATTACGTCCCGAATCCGCATGTTCATTTCAATTTCATAACCCGAATTCACAAGTAGGTATGCGTGTCAGTCAAGAAGAGTTGATCTGTATGGCCAGGCTGATCTAACCCAGGGAAAGTTGTATACCCTGAGATACCCTGAGATGTTAGGCAGACAATGTTCTTATGCTCGTATGTTCAGAAGTATATAGTGCATTCGAGGTTTGGTGAAAGTGGTACATGGATACGAGCGAAAGAAGGTTCCTCCGTCAGCTCAGTATTGGGCAACACGAAGGAGAAAATATTCATCTACATTTTTACGTGCGGGAAGAAGATGTAATTTTTGTATTGCAGAGGGTGAGGCTTGATATGTGTATGAAACAAGGCTTTCCCCACAAGCGGCGAGAGGTTATCATCCTCTTCTCCTCTGGGTGAGACGCGAAAGAGAGTTTGGGGATTTTCAATTCTCATTCAATTCCATTTACATGCACATTCTCATCTCAAATCCACCGGAATAAATAAATGGGCATTCATTCACCAATTTCTTTCTATATCCTTCCCATCTGGGGAAAGAGGAAACTACTCTCCTGCAACATCCTATTTACGTATGAAAACCTTCTCACGAGGGGTTTCAAATTTCATGGAAACTTACTTCACCGCACTGAACCAATTAAAATTCTATCCACACTATTTACGAGGTTGCACACTGTCAAAACAAAATTTAATTATTCGATTGAGTGATGCAGTTCAACTGCTCATCCTGAAAATATTTGGAGCAAGTTGTTACACAAGAGTGCATAACTTGTGTGCGTGGGTGGTAGATTAAATTGCGAGATTACGTAATGTAATCGATGAGCATTTTTTATTTATTGTCTCCGAGATAAAAAATGACGGAAATATTTTCGTTAGGTGAGGTGCTATCAACATCGGACAGCATTGTCTGCATATATTTATTGCATAATATAGCAGTACATTAAACCCCGGACAGCCCCAAAAATGTCATCTCGGGATTTATCAATGTCCAGATTTGTCAACAAATAGACGGCATACAAAATGACGTTCTTTGGATTATCGTAACCACAATACATCAGGGTATAAAACAGATTAAATAGTTAAATACATTATGTAACGTGTAATTTCATTTCAACCTTCTGTTCTCCAGACACTGACATTGGCATACTGCCCATTATATGAAAAAAGTAACTAGAACACATGTAAATTGATTAAGGATATTTCAAACAATTTATATTTCAGCCCCGACTTTACCCTCAAATAAACTACGCAGCTCTGAATAAAGCCTTGCAATGGATGTAATTTTTTTCTGAGTAGCTCACTGACGGACAGTATAATTATCTGTAATTATTGATATTGCAATTTTCCGCGATAATTGTAAAGAATTGACAATCGTTGAAATTACTAATAACGCAGGAAATCCGTAGCAGACAGACAGTTTCAACTCGTGAATAATGCCTCGGTAGTCGGAAAGGCTTTTACTATTAGTCCACAAAATGCATTTAATGAGAACGAAAAGGTCTTGTGTCTGGAATTGCTAATGGCACCAAAGCTACACATCGTCGTCGTATTATAAATAATTTTTGATCATATGGTCATTGAATGAATCAATCAATTTCGACTCACGCATTTTCATAAGTCTGCCCAACGAGAATCTGCTGGCCCCAGGTGAAGAATGTCAAAAGTGAAAATTAGAACGTTGGATCATGTGGAGAAAGTGGCAACTCTGCCATTTTAATTTGCACACGCCTTTTCCTTGTCGTTCGCAAAGGCCAATCAATGTCAATATATTAAGGTATTTAGTTCCCCCTGACACACAATGTGATGCCCGTATGGAATTTGAATTATGCGAATATGGAGCTCTATATACAGTATTCAAAAAAGCATTAAAAATTGCTTAATGTCAAATGGGGACTCGATTTTAGGGAGCAAATTCATTAATCAACTCATCAAGATGGGTGGATGGGTAAATGACGGATAAGTTATAATGCACGTCTAGATTAAAGTTTTGGGAGGCAAAGATTTATTATTGCAAACTTTTAGTGAGTACGTGCATTGCAGGAAACGAGGGTGTAGCAGGAGTTCTTTAAAACGAACACAACATGATGCAGGACACTGCAAAGATACAAAATGATAGACTTAAAAATGTCATTAGGTCCCAGGCTGTACTCATAATTGTGCAAAATCAGCTCTGATACACGTAATGTAAGGACTGCAGCCGACGTAAAGAAGTAAGTTAAAAGCTGGGCAGAATTTACATTGCTAATGTCTTTCTCCACCACGAGCAGGCTGAATGGTCTAATGAACAGTCCTACTATCAGACGACCATTGTTGTTCTAAACCATTTCTTCTCTGTTATATACATACTATCCCCGTACTTCGGCTTTGCACCTCATTTGCATAAATCTGCTCGCACAAGTTCTTGTAGCCGTCGCCCACACTATTTTGAATGACGCGTGCGGGAACTGGTGTAAACATGTGGTTTTTAGTAAACATGCACAACGAAATAATTTGTACATTATAAAATTGTAAAAATTTAAATACCTAATTGCAAATAGTAATACTGTCACCATGAGCATTAGGAGAGTAACAAGAGTTAATAAACCGTCAAAAAATATATCTGGAGTAGTAAAAAACGTGCACGAGTTTGTGCAAACTTTACAAAATTACTTTAAATACAATGTGAAAGTGTTAAACCAGTTCAAGCTAGAAAATGTAGCAAAAAAAGTGGCAGGGTTGTGTAACGTTTCAAAACGAACAGTGCACACAATTATGAAGAACGCGAGTAATAAAGAGAATAACAAAGAAATTCAAACTGATAATACACCAAGGAAACCACTTTATCAATGTGATGAGTTTTCGACCTCAATGATTCGTCGTGTTACTCAAGACTTCTATTCACGTAAAGAATATCCAAGTGCGAACTCCCTCTGGCAAACATGTCGCAATAATGAATATTTTCCTAAAATTAGCGAATCATTGTTTCGAAAGTGGCTGGTGACAAAATGTAGCTTCAAATATCGACTAATAAATAAAAAACCTGTTTATCTTGAACGTACGGACATAGTTGCCCAAAGAGAAAACTACCTTAGGAAAATTCGGCAATATAGAGCAGAAAATAGAAAAATTTATTTCTCCGACGAGACGTGGGCTTCTCCCGATAATACGAGAAAATATTGCTGGGAAATGCTGCTAACAAACCGTGAACGGCAAGAAATGGACCAGTTTTGGAGTGGCATGATTTTGAAGGACATGAATAACTGGACAGGTCTGATCTTTATTTCATTGTACTAAAGTAAACCTCGTGTTAGCAGAATCTAACTATAACATATTTAAACGTTTTTATTCAGGAGGATTTCTGGTAAAATCTGGAAACGGCAGAGTCATCATTAACCACATAGGATCCGAGGATGGGTTTCTGACGGATGGGGACGATATTTTTATTTCAAAAAAGGACGTTAAAGATTATCACGGTAATATGGACCATGTCAGATATTTGACGTGGTTTGAAAAGATCCTGAGTCTCGTGCCACCAAAATCGGTCTTAGTTCTAGATCAGGCTCCCTACCACCGCAAAAGGGTACATTTTGAATTCAATGTTGTAATTTCAAAATCGTAGTAAGATTGTTTTACTATAGGTTGAAGGAACGCTAATGCCGAACATGGCCTGGCTGAAGCAGAAAATTGTTGATTGGGTTGTTCAACATGACATTCGTCTGCCCGAAGGAGTTGAAAGTTTCCATAAACTTACCAAATCATCACTAATCGAACTGGCAAAATCAAAACCCGTGAAACCCAAATTTATCGTGGAGAAACTTGCAGAAGAAAGCAACAAGGATATAAAAATACTCTGGCTTCCACCTGCTCACTGCGAGTTTAACCCGATTGAATTAATCTGGGCAATTGTCAAGGGCTATATCGCTAAACATAATCCAGGCAATAATTTGAACGGAATATATGAATTGTCGAAGAAAGCGGTATCAAATATAACACCTGAAATGTGGAGGAATTGCGTCCATCATTCTATAAAATATGAAGACAAAATGTGGGAAAGGGATAGATTGATGGACAATTTCTTAGATTCACCTGCAACGAACTTGATGACGCCCATAATTATTCCTATTCGTGAAGATGACTCATCAGACTCAGAATATCATACTGAATCTGATGATTTGGAAAGCGAGGACGGGGACTTAGAATTTTTCGATAGCTAATTTCAATATGTAAGTCACTAGCTCACCACCAACATTATTCACTACAAAAATATTAGTAATAATCTATTACCCAATATTAATTGATGATGTACATATGTAGGTGAAGGAAGATACGAAACAGTTGCAAATCGTGGCCAATTATCATTCTTACAGTGCTACTTCCTTTCGCATCACTCTCTGGGAAGGCGATGGTGGTCAATTATAGTTGACAGTAATGTCATTTAGTTAAATAAGTTTAATGATTAAATTTTGCTGGACACGTGCAATTTGCTTCCATGGTGGTGCTCATGATCTGAAAAAGTCTTAGGTAACTAATTAAAGTATAATATGAACATATCGTGTTTTGATTTCTAAATATTTAATCCCTGATGATGACACGAGTGCAGTATCGAAAACTTGGGAAATAAATTCAATTTCTTCCTTCAATCATGTCATCTTCTCTTTAAATTATAATACGAATGTGTTTATCTCTTCTCTTGTAAATTATCTGCATTTAATATGATACATATCCATATATCCGTCATCGTTTTACTAAATAGCTTACCATATTTGATACGTGCATTCCGTAGTTAAAAATCTTACATTTCATGTACACATTCGTGGAAGTCATAGAGTCTCACTTGTCCCCATCTCGGGCGACGGCTACAAGAACTTGTGCGAGCAGATTTATGCAAATGAGGTGCAAAGCCGAAGTACGGGGATAGTATGTATGTACACCTAATTTGTGGCCCACCACCAGTGGCTTCCCCCCATTACTTGCATACATCACTCGTGTTCCAAGTGTTCAGGACGTACTGCAATTAGCCTTGAGCAGCTGTTATTGTTGGACGTGTATATGTGCGTATTATTCTACTTTCTCACTACTGCTGCGGTGAAAAATCAAGAAACTTGTGCTCGCTTTCACCACGAATTTTCACAATCTGCAATCGGCAAACTAAGCATGGCATGCAAAAAATGTAATAATGGCGAATTTATGATGCTTAAGCTCACGATATTCCTTTTTATAACTTGGCTCCAAGGATTAATTTAAAGCTTGGATTCAGTGCTACTCCCATAATAGCAAACTAACAACGACGGGCTTTCTTTAAAGAGTTAATTCAAATTGCATGCATGCAGAGGGATCGTATATCGCGCAAAATGGCTTCAAGCATTTACGCAAACGAGACTATTTCGCTACCTTTCTTTTCATTTCGTAATGCTGGAAATTGCCTCAAGCAATGGGTTTTGGTGGTGGGATGGAGGTTATCCGGATGACGATGAAAAAATCGGCTAGATAAAGAACCACTGCCTCGTTTGTCGTTGTACAATTTCATGCATATGTACATGTATTTTCCATGGTATACATATCTATAAGGATTATTGTGTGTTGGAGTCAAATTCCTTTTGGTTCGTTTCATTGAACTCGCTCGAAAGATGGAAGCCAATACCTTCGTGGATGTGCCCCATGTGGATGTGGTCGGTTCAACGGAAACTGGAGCAGCAGGTAACGTCCGGAATTTTCCATGATTATACCAGAAAAAAACAAGACGGATCATAGATCAAGAGATGTTGTGATTTTATATATGTTTTCCTCATATCGTTCAAGCTTCAAGGCACACATGCTCACAAATAATCAATTTCGCAATCTTTATTGTGTTTTGTTTCGCGAACTTTTCATTAAGGTTTTTATTAGGTTTGAAGATCGGAACAGAGAAATTCTCTCTCTCGCTCCCTCATAACTCTCAAACTTATTTTCATCTTGCTTGTATAAATTATTTCTTATTTCTTACCAGTTTACAAACCAAAGTATATGGAAATTAAATTTTAATCTTTTCCCATGTTTCCAGCAATCAAATATTGGCTAAAGTTAATATTCGGGGCTTTGTAAAAGCAATAACGCGTTTTAGCCCGAGCCAGGGCTACATATGAATTCAAGTTGATCGGACGCTAGGCTTTAAATTTTGTAGAGAATTGTAGTATAGAAGACCATAAGAAGTCAAAGTTCGAAGATATGTAGGCAAGATCGGTGAACTGGTTGACCTGAGGGATTATTTATGTACATACACAAGTAAATGCATTTAGGTGGTTGAGGTTGACCACAACAAATTTTATTAGTGACCTCTGACTCGGAGTATAGCAAGCCTTTCTTCCTGAGACCCATCCGCCATTATCCTACTTGAAATAAATCTATCTATCTTCTCATCATATGCATATTTACATTGCGTCGTCGTGTCCTCAATTTGTTGAAATCCTTTAGTTTTAACAAATTGCCACCATTTTTAACATTATCATCACACGAATTCCAATCATTTCTAAATTAAATGGTTCTATGTCAGCAATATTTTACCGTCGTCTTTTCATCCCATCAACTATAAATGAGACTGGGTAGAATAGAACGCTATAAGTTTAAAAACACGTGTGCAAACTATATTTCACTTCTCACAATACAAATCAGGGTTTCTTAAGCATCGTGTTTTGGGACAAATTGAAAAGCCGTATTTTTGAGTTAAAATGTGCAAATCGGTGAAAATTTAAATTAAAAGATGGGATATATTTTAACAATTATTGTTAAAACATATTCCCTCTCGAAAGGTAAGGTAAATCGACAATTCGCAAGAATTCGATTAATAAATTAGACCAAAAGTATTAATAATTTTATTGCATGTATTAAGTAATGTTTATTTTTAAAATTATCCAGCCCACAGCCTCGGCTCGGCCTAAATACAAATCACATGAACAAGTATGCAGCAAACCAAAAATTACATCATCCTTGGAACCCTGACGCAAGTTATCTTACATAAAAAATTAAATCTCGACACAGCATTCTTTTCTTTGACACAAGTAACGTTTTCTTAATCATAGGAACGTGACACGACTGCTGCTGAATGCAATAAAATTTGGAAAGTCCCCGATGATTCCCATCTTTTGAGATGTGCGAAGGACGGAGTGAAATGAATGAAATGGTGAAAGCAATCACTTTTTCATCTTTCTCAGCCAAGAAAGTTGAGGGGAGAAAGTCCCATTTCTCCCTCTGTTCCTGGTCCAAAGGTGCTCACCACTCATTCATCAGAAACATCAACTTGTCAGTCATTAATAAATCTACATCAGAATGAAAAATCCCTCACCTGCGACCTGGTATTTGAGTTTTAATCATTCTTGAATGTTGGAGTGAATGGAAAAACTTGTTTTTATCAGAAAGAAAGTTGATTGGCCCTGAAGCCACATGTTTCTACACGATGTGTCAGTCAGGCTGCACCAAAATGTCTGGTTTAAATAAAAGAGGAGACTTTTGCCAACCACATAAATATAACATTCGTATTATCACATCCGCTCTCAGACCCGATTCAACAAGAATGAAATATTCCGCAGATAACTTCCGCCCTTTCCGCACGAAGGTGAAGCAGAGGCTGACTTTCTACTTTCTGAACGTAAAAGTGAATCCCATCCTCCCTCCCTGCCTCCCAAACCGTGTGAATAATGACTAGACAATTTTAGCTCAGCAGTGCATCCAACTTCTCTCTTAATAGATTAAGGTGAAACTCTGGAAAAGCAATTTTCTGCTTCTGGACGTAAACAAATTAATCATCTTTTCAAAAGACCACCAGTTCAAACCAGTGCAAGTCCGCCTATTTTTCCAAGTGTGACGCGCAGTCCACCACTGGAAAACACACACGTGCATCCTACTCCTCACTTGGTGCTGCTTTCACCTTATTTCTCATCTCACACAATGGCTCCGAGTAAGGTGACACCCCAAATATCAAAGTGCGTAAACCCTTTCCCTATGTGTCCAACGTTTTCTAAAAGAATTTAAAAAACCAAGAATGTTATTCTTCTCCCTCCCTGCAAGTTGCTGGCTTATCCTTCCATACACGTTTAGTAACAATGTCTAGGAGTCGACAACAATAGAGCAAAAACTGCTGTCACTCACTCAGCCTTTGTTGGGTGGGAAGAACGAGATCTAAGCCAGAACATGTATATCTAGTCACTAAACTCGTGGAGAAACTTCAACTTGAAATTTTTGCTGTATGGTTGTTTGCTTTCGCATAATGGAGAAAGTGTACGGAGAAGAAGATGGATTTATCTCGTGCACTCTTTCTCCTCGATGCAACACTGCGTGTGTAGCATGATGCCTGTGCTTGTGGGATGTCAAGCCGAAACTAAGTCGTAACAAAGCTGTTGTTGTGTAGTAATTTCTTCTCACTCATCACACACAACAGTTGAAGAGAGGAAATTGGTGGTGTCGCTGACGTACATAGTTAAGCTAGATAGTTGTTTGCACTTCCAATGCCGTGGAAAAAGATAAAGCGGTGTCTCAATAGCATCGGAAACTGACTGCCAACCAGAAGGATGTGCTACTACAACGGTAAAATTCTGTAGTAATTGCTCGTCAAAACGGTATTTGGTTTTCTACTTTTCATTTGGTGTCGAACAAAAGACGTAACATGTTATCAAATGGTTGACGATATGTTATGACAAATGTGTCAAAATACATATGTACATACACTACTCCTTTTATAGTACTCCCAGACTTAGTACTGCCATGTGAAGCACGTGGATACCCTTGATGAAGAATGCGCAGGGAAGTGTTTTGTTATTTTAGATATTTCACTAACTTCCTTCGTGGGGTTAGTGTAGAATGAGATTGGACCAAGAAACCGCAGCAAATGTGTGCCTCTCAAGTACCAACTTTATCTCAGAAAATCCATCAATATGTCAATTCAACAGAATCTTGGAGAGATTACGATGAGAATCTCACGCTAAGAGCTAAAAATATTATTTCTCGACAGTATTAACCAAGACTACACTACGGTTTCACTAAATTGTGGATAGCTGCAAAATGCACTTTCCGCTCTGCCAACTGAATAAAGCTGCATCCACACTCCAGACTTTGCGTACTTGTGCTTTGAGTGGGTTTAGTTCTGTTGTGATTGTAAATTGCTTTCCCTTGACTTTGCAACTTGCTACACAAGGAAAAAAACCTGTAGTCTGTAGTTGAACTTCACTGCATGTTGTTGGCACGCACAAAATGCGAAGTAGCTACTTTTGGCTTCTTAACTAAGAGTTATCGCCACCAACACATAACACTGCTTCTACTTACATATCTACATAGGGGCAGTAGGATGGTGGATTGGACAGACAGCAAGATCTGAGTGAAATAGCTGCAGAATGTGCTTCTCTTTCTTTTAGATTTAAACGTTGTTGTCAGCATTAGCAGTGGTGAAAGCAAGGAGAGGTAAAAGGTAAATGCTGCCAAGGTGGACTACCACACGCGAAGCATTTCTTTACTCTGAAGTTCGGCTCTTCTTTTGTGGATGAAATGAGTAACCGTACAAAATATTGCTGATTCCATTGCAGAGAAAGTAACTGTCCGCAACACGAGACGAACCACCCAGGATGGTGGAGACGGTTATGTAAGATTGCCCATTCTACGTGAACTTCATTGTTTC